TGTCCTGTTGCATCACCCAATCTTGGCCAAGCTTTAGCTGTTGGACAGATGGCCTCACATTTGACTCTAGAATACTTTGGTATACAGAGGAGTTCATGGTTGATTCAATGACTGTGAGATGCCCAGGTCCTGTGGCTACAAAACAAGCCCAAAATCATCAGCCCTCCACCAGCATGTGTGACTTCTGGTATGAGGTGTTTGTGCTGATATGCTTGTTAGGTTTTCACCAAACGTGCTGCTGTGCATTATGGCCAAACATCTCCACTCTGGTCTCATCTGTTCAAAGGATATTGTTCTAGAAGTCTTATATGGTTTGTTCAGATGCAACTATGCAAACCTAAACTGTGCTGCCATGCTTTTTTAGTTAGAAGAAGCTTTCTTCTGGCAAGCCTTCCAAACATGCCATACTTGTCCCATATTTTTCTAATTGTACTGTCATGAACTCTTATCATTTAACATGGTAACTGAGGCCTGTAGAGTGAAGGTGAAGTTCTTGGGTTGTCTGCCGTTTCTCTGAGCATTACATGGTCTGATCTTGGGGTGAATTCGCTGGGATGTCCTCTCCTGGGAGGATTGGTGTCTGTTTTGAATGTCTTCCACTTGTGAATAATCTTACTCACTGTAGAATGATGGACTTCAAATTGTTTGGAAATGGCCGTATTACTCTTCCCAGACTGATGGCAGCAACAATTGCTTCTCTAAGATCATTGCTGCTGTCCTACCTCATTGATATTGTGTTAACACACACCTGAAGGCTCCAGACCAGCAAACTGCCAAAACTTCTTTTATGGAGGTGCTCACACTTGCTGATCAGTTAATCAAAGGAATTTTATTAGCAGTGCCTGAATGCTACTTACGCTCTTAATTCATATGTTAACAGTAAGGGTGTCCTAACTTTGTCAGACATGGCTTTTCCACTTTGGCTTTATTTTTGTTAAATAAATAATGACACTGTGTAATATGTTATGTGTTGTTGTTCATCTGAGGTTTTATTTTCCAAATTTTAATTTCTTTTTTAATGATGTCCCAATACAGAAAACCATGGAATTCAATAGGGTGTCCAAACTTTTTCACGATTGTATGCTTGCTAAAATGGATTTATCAGTCTATAATAATATAATACCCTTTGTGAATTAATATCAGCCCCACTAGCATGGCATACTACACTCTAAACTGGGTTAAAAAGGGACAAACCCATCTATTGGATTGTTTTGACCCAGCGGCTGGGTTGTTTTGACTCAAAACAACCCAACCGCTGGGTCAAAACAACCCAATAGCTGGGTTTGTCCCTTTTTAACCCAGCGCTGGGTTATATTTAACCCAGCATTTTTTAGAGTGTACTTATACAGTACTTACCTTGGGATTGGTTGTTGGACTGGCAGTGCATGTTTGTTTGGCAGCTCTCTGACTGCAATGGCTCAGGTCTCCAGTCTTCCAGTAGTTGAGACTGAGCCAGAAAAATTCTGTTTGAGTTAGGCTCCCCCACTACAGAGAGGGTTACTGGGATTGGTTCACCATATCCATCCTCTTTTTCTACTTTTACAGCCACTTCAAGGGACGACTCCTCACTCAGCACATCTGTAACCATTCCAGCACATCCCTGCTCAGTTTTGGTCATACTGTGTTGCTCATTCTTGATGTCTAAAAAAGGAAGCGTCTCATTAAATTTCATCAATACTGTCCAAACCATGCACAGTCAAAAAAAATCTTGTTAAATTTACGTAAAAAAAAAGATTGGCAGATGTTCCAGAAATTCACCACAAAAAATACTGTGGAACAGTTTTAGCTATTATGGGATGGCATATTGGTGCCTGTATATTTTCACAAAATAACAGAAAATGTAACACAAAACACCTTACAGCTTAGATCAAAAACAAGAAAAAAACGAAACTATACAAACTGTATATATACTATATATATATATATGAAGAGTTCAGATGCCAAAGCCTCTAAGTGCCATCTGAAATTTTCTTCTAAAATTAGCATTTTTCTCAGGTTTCTATATTTGTTCATTACTGAACCTACACATGAGAGCCTGTGAAAAATGGTCATTGTAGAAGAAAATTTCAGATGGCACTATCTATCAATATATATGTATATATAT